TGAGAAAATGTATGACTATTTTATATTAGAGCAAATTTGCAAAAGTTACATTCTGAATTTGCTGAATATGGATGGCTGTAGTTCAGGGCAGGACGAAAGCTTTTCAGAAAGCCTGGACAGGGGAAGGAGGGAACAGCTCTCCCCCTCGGCATCACGTTCAGAGTGGAGAAAGTTTTTGCATGTTGACCATGCCAACAACTCAGTTTTGCTAGCGTGAGCACAAGCACAGTGATCCCAGGGGAGATCACTGCGTGCTGGCACGCAGACACCTGGCAGGTTCAGACTGGGTCCTGACGCCCCAGCTTCCCTGGACTTCAGCGAGGCAGGATCCGACCAAAGCGTATTACCTTACTCTCCTCAGAGCAGTCTTTGTCCCTGCTGTTTGAGAACGATTCTTTAAGACGTGTGAGTCACGGGACATACTCATCAGCTGAATGACTTTGAATGACTTGGGCAACATCTCAAATCAGCACGCAGGCTATGCAATGTTACTTTTTTTCCTCAATGTGCTAAAATCTCTCCCAATGATAAAAGATCAAAAAGTAAATTACAAGCGTAAAATGACAAAGACCTCCTATAGAAAGCAGCTTGTAAGGTAGACTAAGCAAAACTGATGAACATCTCCCACATCTAATTGTGGATCTATAACATTAAAAAAATATATTTATATTTATATATTTTTAGGTCCCCTAGAATAAGCAAGAGCATACAGTGAAAAAGAGTGAAAACTATTCCTGTGGAAAACAAGTACTTTAGGTAAGTATAGCCACCAGGAAGAAGAAAATATGTCGAGTAAAATCCTGCTCTCACTGAAGATAATGGCTATATAAAAACAGTTTATCACATGCTTTATTTTTATATTCAGAAGGTGCAGATTTAAAGAACACGGTAATGCCACAGATACAACCAATCGATAGAAATTGCCTGAAAACTGCCTGCCAAGCCTACACTGTGAGAGTGATTTCCTATAGCTTATACTACTCATTTGTCTATGCCAGTAACAAAATAATATAAAATGTGGACAGAATTTTGCCACAGCACCCTAGCAGTATATATTACTGCACAATGTTCAAAGTAGGTAGTGTAGTATCCAGCCCTGTCAATGTCCAGTATTTTCTTCTGGAGCCATTGACTTCTTATAGAGGTTTTGATTCAGAAAATCAAGTAATAACTTACAAAGAGTCATGTCTTGTTTGTCCTTGTTGATGTAATGTTAGATTTAACCAAACCTGAGCCTCTCAGATCAATTGTGTGGATTTTTAAATAGGTAAAACAGTGTAATCTGAAAAATTAAGCATATACATGCATATACATAAACCCATCAATCCTGCTGCTGACGTGAGAGGCAATAACACATGCAATAGCTTTCATTTCACCTTTTTGTGTAGGCCAAAAGTGGTGTGGAAGAGCCCGTTTTTCTCAAGGAAGTTCTGTAGAACTTAATCCTGTCAGTGAGAACAAAGACAATCACAGGAATTACACCAGATTTTTAAGTTATGGGGTTCATTGTTGACTGAGTCCCATGGGGACTCATACTGTCCTATGGAAATGTAGGATTCCATATTCATTCAAACTAAAGGTGGTAAGGCACTTGCTTATCAACTTTCCTCTCGCTACTGGCCCTACTATGAATTATTGCTGTGGTTATCATCGTTTTTGAGTATGGCCTTATCAAACTCAGCACCAGTTTTACTATTGCATTTCCATATTTGTGTATGGATATGTATACATACATACATACATACATACTGGAACATCCACAATCTTCATTTTCATATACCAGCAACGCCACTTATTTATTAACACATAGTAGCTGAAACGGAAGGATGAATTCCAGCTACAAGTAACTTGTATTAGCTGCCAAGCCACTTAGTTCCAAATTTATGTAAACATTCTTCCAACAGTTTTGTGAAATCAGTAAAAACAACATTAACAAATATAAAAGCAAGCACCTGAGTAAAAATCATGTAGTTTGTATTACTGTATCTTTAGTCATTGTGATAGTATAAAAAATATCTACTCGTTCAAAAACAGAAAAATATTTCTGTGAATATTCCGCTATTTAGGAGTATGAGATAACCCAAAATGTGTTTGTCTTTTATAATGAAACTCATAAGGAAACGAACTACCAAAAAATACTATGTTATTTGTAAAGCATACTATTAAGTGAAAGAGCTATGGCTTGACCACTTTAATTACATTTGTCTCTTATCTCAGACAACACGGCGCTGAAGGGCAGGTGGTAACAATACAACTTGAAAATTGGGTAAAAAGTTGTCATATGAAAGCCTCCAAGTATATTTTTAACAAGATGCTCTTGATGCTTCAGTAAAGAACATGCCAGAAGGACTCTAGGCTGTCCCCTTCTAAGAAGCTAGTACATGTATGCGTTAGTAACAGTAAATGACTCTGGAAACAGATTTTATTTTCCAATTTTAAGAACTGTTTACCATAAACTACAACACAGAATTATAATTTCAAAACTGCACTAATGGGTTTTTAAAAGAAAAAAAACCCAAACAATTGTGAGCACATTTTCTGTTCTTAGAAAACAGGGATAAATCCTCTCTGGTGTCTCTTTTGGATGCTCCTTCACCTTTTAGGATTGAGGGGGGACAGAAGAATGACATAAAACTGCCTCTCCAACCCCAATTTCAGCTTTGCCCACCTGCTTGCCTTCTGTGCATGGAAAGATGCGAAGGAGGCAGCGTGGTCCTGCACGGCTCATGGGATCCACTAGAACCCCCTTCTTTGTAGCATTTCCCCCACCTCCAGATATGAACTAACTGAAGACAATTTCAAGGGGCTGGTCTAGGCACTAATATTTAGCAGCCCTTTCCTATTCTAAAAGATAGATTTTCAAAATTAGGTTTGGAATCTTTAAAGCAAATAAATAAAATCCATTTTAATTTAAATATGCATTTCAAATCACGGTATTCAGTTGCAAGACTAGTAGGAGTAAATGCTTTAACACAGATAAGTCAATCTTGACAAATCAGCATTTGTTAAAAATAATGACAAATGAAATGTGAACTTTTTCTCTATGCCTACAGCATGTAGTAATGGCCCTTTCCTGTTGAGCGAGCGTTGTAAGTGTATTCTGAGGAAAAACTTTGGACAAATGCTACGAAGTCATTCACTGGACAACTTTGTGGAATTAATGCTTGTCTTTTAGGTGTAAAGAATTTTCTTGCCACTGAGGTAAGTAAAGCACTGAGCTCTCTACAGAGGTAGCCAAATTTTCATTAGCAATAAGAGATGTACAAAGGAGACTGATAGAAGAACAGTGCAGTGGACGATGCCACTTGAATTAAGGGTTTAGCTTAGATGATCTGAGATATCTTTCCCACCTTTATTATCACTGCTTCTTTAATACAGAGACATATGCAAAAAGCTGCGGGTGAGTTAGATCTGTAATTCTCAGAATTTTTGTATTGTGTGTTACTACGTTTTATTTTTTTGCCACTTGTTTACAAAAAACGTTTTAAAGATTTCTCTTTTTCAAAGAATATCAATTCAATAAATTTTATGTTAAAGGACTACATGACTCTAACTGAGTCTAACTAAGCTGTGATCATCAAAGTGATATTCACTACTTTAAGGAATCTCTAAAAAAAAAGATGCATTACGAGTATTACAGTTACTTCAGGATACAAGGAGTTGACACCTACTAAATGCAAGTAGGAATTAATTGAGACTCTTTATTATGAAGTTGTTATCATTTCAAGTTCCCATAGGTCCCCAGATATTAGATGTAGACACGCTTATCAAACTTCTTTGGGGAGAGAGGAAAGATAGCATTCAAGATAGACAAAAAGAACAATTTTAGGGCAATTTTACCATTGATCTATATGAAGCAGCCCCAAAGTTTAGAGTATTAGGAGCAGTATGAGCAGAAATTTCAGGAAGACCAATAGTAGGCATAGATTGAATGAAATTTGTCACATAGGTGCCATTACTGTATGCAATTCCCTAACTCTGTTATGTCTCACACAGGTATATAGCACTCTCTATTATCTACAAAAACTGATGCTAGGGAAAATGTTCAAACTTAAGCCCACAGCTAAGTAATTTGCTGAATTTTATTCTAGGTGCTTGATATACTATGAATTCCTAAGATAATTTCGACCTCACAGATCTCTCGCAGCAAATTTTTGTGATCCCATGACAGCTTAAATGAAAAGATTTAATAAGCAATAAACTTTGGTACTGTGAAACAGGTCTCGGTAGCCTCTAGGGATATCATGCAGAACGGCTGCTGCTGATTCTATTTTGCTGGTGACCACTTTATTCATATAACTAACTGTACCAAATGATAGCTGAAATCATGTATTTGTATTTTAAAATAAAATTATTTGTGCATGGTACTTCATGTAAAGATATTGTCTACATCTATCAGCCAAAGAGGAGGCTGATACCCCGGAAACACACTCTGTTAAAACGTGTAATACATTTAAATAAAAATATTGACCCTTTCACATTGCAAACCTCTTCAGACTCAATTTGTTTGCTACTACAGTGGACTCCTTGTTGTAGTAGATCTCTAGTAGCGACACTACTAATATATACCTAAAATACTTGCCATTTCTCAGGTTCTTTCTCTGCTTTGGACACATCAACAATCTGCTGAAGTAAAAAAAATACTGATTCAAGCTGACAGTTTTTAAGTAGAGTTACTGAGTAGATACTTAACCTACTAGCGTTATCATCCTATCACACTGCCATTATAACCATGATCAAGAAGGTTACATTCCAGAAATACAATTATATTGTTGGCAAGAAGGTTACATTACTTCGTTTAGCGATAAAACAAACTACAGTAAATCTACCCTTGAGTGACAAGATGATTTGGGGCAAGATTTATATTCTCCTTGCAAAACTCTTCAAGGAAGTTTCATGTCTGTGGGGACAAACAGGTTTGCTCTATGTAAAACCTTAGGAAAATACATTTATAATAAATAAGAAAACGGATTTCAATAATACTAAACAGACATTAAAGGTCTTTTGCCTTTTTTAAGAAGATTTTTTATGTATGATTGAAGTTTATACAACACTCCAGAAAAGCCATCATGTGTTAGATTGAAAAATAAAATCAGAAGCATTTTCTGTCATATAGGTATACATGAAAAAACGGGAACGTTAATGTCTTAGAAAGTGTATGTCCAGCTTTGTACCGTTACTCATTTAACAAAGCAGAAAATAAGATACTGTACTGTAAACAAAAAGCTACAGTAAAAGGACATTTTGAAATTTACACAAGTTTGAGTTCATAAACATTTTGGTTGCTCCATAACAGTTTTCATATAAAATGAATAAAAAAAACCCTTGGACAGCTTTCATCACTCTTGACTACTTTTCACTTAAATGCACACAGACATACTTTATATAGCAATATACTGATGTACTGTAACATGGATATTAAACTATGATTACTGCTTTTTAACTGAGATGTGTATTATCCAATCAATATTATCTGTAATTGAAATACTCATACATTATGTATTCCCATCATGTTGTTAAGTATAAAAACATGAAAATATAACTTTACATTATTTCAGTTATATACATCAGTTCAGGCTTGACAAAGATTTTTTTTACGCTACGATTTTTAGAGGAATAAGCCCAGAGGTACAATAAATAGCTTTCCACTGTATACAGTAATGCAATTCTACTTTTTCAAAAAGTTTAAATTACCATATGAATATTATTTTAGTTTGGTCATTCTAGCATCGAACACTAAAAATCAGAATGCATCCCCCAACATTCCTGATGAGGAGTAATGCACAGAACACCTATAGGTTACAGATGCGTCAAGAAATGGTTCAGTTTAATTAGGGGGAAGTTACTGGTAAGTTTGACATTGAAAACACTGTATATACCTCTTTTGCTGGCCGCACAGAGAGTATACACTGTCTTCACATGCTTGCAGAAACAGGCTCAGAGCTTGTACCACAAGAAGGGATTTCAAGTTTCTGATAAATGCTCTGTCTTCTCCAATGTTCAGTAAACGTTTTACTTAAGCCTAAGAAATGGATTCCAACTAAAACTGCAAGTCATATTTCACGTTTTGTTTAAGTCCAAAATAAAATAGAGATTTACCGATACTGCATGAGGCAATATATCCACAATGCAGAAAAATGTAAGCTTTTCAACCAAATGTATGGAATTTTATCTACAGGGAAAGCTAGAGAAACACGATGTTGCTTTGATTTGCATTAGCATTTAAATTAATGTTATTGCACCCCTCCTAGGATTCCTTTTTGCTTTGTAAGCAGAGTTACCGTTTTTAAATATACATAATTAAAACGTATGGTAACTTCAGATAGCAAAGAATATTCGTAATGATTAAGATTCAGGAAAGTTTTTCTGTTTTCATCAGTACAGACGTGCA